AATAGTGCATGACGTTGGTCGGGGGGCTGCACCAGAGCAGCCCGGCTACCGACCCTAACTTCTGCCTGACCTCGGTCTGGGTAGTTGTGCGTGATGGGGCATGGTCCGCACCAGTCGCCCCCGTCATCTTTGGTGGAAACAGGTCGGTCGTAGTCCACAGGATCGTCTGGTTTGTAGTTGCATTGACCAGCTAGCGTTGTCTTAATGCGTAGTGCACGATTAACCTTGGCTGCCGCTGTGGCCTGTGCGTTGGCTTCAACGCTTACATGCCTGATCAGGCTTTGCTCGGACGCTCCTGCCCACTGTTCGTGGTCTACCACCAATAGATCCGGAAGACAGGCCGGCCGTCGGCCGTAGAGGCCAAATATGGCGATACGCCGCTACAGAACGTCACCGCGCAACCTACGAATGGGCCGTCGCGCAGTAGCTTAGGGAACACTGATGGAATATCTAATGGTTTGAGCTCCTCCTCAATGGCGTGTAGGGCCTGGCGTAAGATGCCACTTCGTGCTTCGATAGAGGTGGCGCGTTGGCCTCGGGCGCGGATGCGTAGTTCCGTGCCCTATGCCCTTCAGATGGGTTCCGCCGTCTCGTTCTCTGGCTGCGCTTACAGTCGGAGTATGGTATCTTAAATGGGCCATATTGCACCCGCTCTTGCGATGGGCGCCCAAGATGGCGGCCACCTGCATGTCCGCCGCCCTCCAGATCGATCGGTCGACAACTTGGAACGCGATGTTATGCATGTAACACATCAGATCGCATACGACTTCCTCCTTGGATCAGCCAGGAAGACTAATGGACGGCATGACCGCATTGCCATGCTCCTCCCAGGCACGGCACTCAACGCGTGAACCGCGCACACATTCTATCATGTTCAATCGTAGATGATCGAGGCCTCCCAATGATACCAGCATACGCATCTTCGGTTCCGAGGCATGATACCATCGTAGGCGTGGCTTACGGAGTTCCTTCTACACGACTGTTGGGTTGTAACTGCGCAAATTGTTAAGACTGGCCTGCATGTCACAGCGAGACCAGCCAGGTAGTCTGGCACATGGCCATGCTCTGGCCTTGGGTTGAGGCGGCGGCGGCTCTGCGCCACACTGCTAACATCCACGTCGCCCCACCACTCGCGGCGGATCAGTGGAGCTGCCAGCGCAACTTCCACGTGCCTCGCCACTACGATCTCCGTGTACTCATCGAGTCCTGTCATAGCTGCTGCCGCCCGCTGCAGGATCAGCATCGCCAGTGTTTTTTTTTTCGCGCATGGAGAAACGCAAATGGCCGCGCGCTTGGTCGCGCACGTTCTGCTGCTGGCACAGCTGGCGCTGGTGCAGCTGGTGGAGCCGGGTCGAAGTTGTCAGGTAGTTGATAGGGTTTGGTCACTTGTCCAGTATTAGCAAATGGCCGTGCTTGTTGCCTCCGCAGTCCTGTTTGCAGCTTGGGCATGCCCAATAGTGCTGCTCCTGTTCGAACCACCAGCATTGCTTCGGCTTGTGGTTGTGTCGCGATGAATGAGTGCATCTGTAGCTTGCCAACACGCGCTTGGCATCCCAGCCCGCCAGGTGTCGGTCGGATGACGTCACAACCAATTTGTCGCGGCATTCTGGGGTCGTCCAGGTCGAAGCCAGCACGGTCGGCCACGCGGGTCTGGGCCTGCGTCCGTCCTGCAAGAAGGTCACGGCCAGAAGCATAGAGATCCCACGTAATGTCCACCGCATCTGCAATCCGAGATTGCATTTTTAGGGTGTGGTGGGCTGCTCGTGCCAGCTCTTGGTTGCATGCTTGGGTATGCTCGCGATGGCCCCTGCATCTCTGCTTCCCGTAAGGCTCGAGTACAAACCCACGATTGGCCATCACCTCCGTGGGTTTGCGGGTGAGTGCGCCCATGGTGTCCTTGAGCCCTGTCGAACATTGGTCAATGGTCTGTTTGCAAGGGACCTTGCGCTGGGCCAAGGCTGATCATGGGGCGATTTCGCCCACCCATGTACCCACGGGTGGTGCCCTTAGGACGAAGAGACGACGTCGGTCGTCTTGCAGGACGGTCTCTCCGCAGAAGGCGATGCGGGGAAGGTTATATGTGTAGTTCTGGTACCAAGTATCATACTTCACCCGAGCACTGACATGAGAAGGCAAGCCTGCGGCCCTGCACTTAGGTCGCAGCACTATATACCACGGTGACAAGACAGGCATGCAGGTAATGCACCACGGCATGCTGCTCCTGGGGGCCACACAGGTCGACGCTGGCCCGCCGATCGGGTTCGCCTCCAAAGGCGACGCGCCCCAAGCAAATTGGGAGATGCCACCAAGACCACCGCGTACATCCAGACATTGGACTTGATTGTCCTTTCCATAACACATCGCGGGTGCGATAGCGAGTACGTTTGCACGCGCGCCCGCCATGGTAGGCAGCGTGAGAGACATGACATTGTCGTCTCAGATTCGAGCTCTTCGATCGGGACACTGGTGTATAGAATGTCGCAACTGAGACCTTGGAAATCCTCGTCGTAATCGTCGGAGCCGCCCTCCGCCTTTTCCCGGTATCCCGTTCGGTTTGATGCCAGCCTTTTGCTTGAGCCGGGCACATGTGAGGAAGGAGTTGCACGCGTCCGCTGGCGACGTTGGAAAGCTTGAGAATTGCGGTAGCTCGCTGCGCTCGCCGCAGTGGCCGCGCCAATAAGTCGAAAGGGGAGGAGATCGACAATCTCCGATGAACGCTATTGTTCTCTTTGTGCGTGGCCCCGCTTGTTGCCCGTGGCCGAGCATGACTTGGCCCGCGGGCTCCCAAAACAACCGTGTGCATACGTTTCGGTCACCTGGTGGCTGAGGCGCCGTCGAGTCGCAACCTGCCCGAACAGAAAAAACGCGACGGACTACGTCATTCAATGTTAGTCCGTTTGTGGGCGAGTGTACGTATGTCTGCACATTCTTGCCTGCGCGTGTAAACATGCTCAAATGCATAACCTTCTCAACACTTCGAGGTGGTTGTTGTTTGTCTAATTGGTCCACAAAACGCGCGGTAAGGATGAGAATTGTCGTTGCTCTACATTCGCCATGTTGTTGGTCGTGTCCAAACCAGTCTAGCTCGTGTTCCGTAGGATTTTCACATGCATCTCCACAAGAGGGCCGGGATCATGAGGCATTCCATACAGACTTGGATATACGAACCGCTGGGTTCCTTGCTGGCACGATCAAACTCGCTGCCAAAATGGTAGAGACGCATCCCGATGGTTCGACGATTTAACTCCTCAAGCGCATCTCTGGCCCCAGCTTCCAGGGGTATCCCAGAAGTCCCATCGTGATCACCTGCATCCTGGTAGCAAGTGCTTTCGTGAGTAGGTTACATATCCTCTGATAGCGTGGCCCCACCCGCTTTCCTGGCAGTCGCACGTGCCAGTCCGCGGATGCAACCACCCATAATTGCTGATAGCCCCCGCCATTAGTCTGCCTAGATGTTGTGTACAATGGGCAGTCATGCCCCACTGTGAGCGATGCGATCACAGAGGTCTCCTTCGTGGCGGAGTTCGGCGGAAGCCACCACTTCGCCCCTGGCGCCGCCCTTCCCGATCTTGAAAGGGTTGCCCCAGACGGAGGCCGGCACCCCTCCCCCGCCCCTGCCAATGCACACACCGTCGATCCCCCTACCGGCGCGGAGGGCCTCGAGCTCGGACGCGGTGACCCTGCGCCTGGAAGTCGGCGGAGGGGGTGGCAGGCCGCGAAGAAGGACGTCCAACCCAGCCAGATCATCGCGACATCCATCACGATCTTCAGGCACGCGTTGCGGTCGCTCTGGGCGCCCGGCAGCGCCATGCCCGGCCGTCGCCTGCGCTTCCCCCTCCTTCAGGAACTTGTCCCGCTGCAGGCGGAAGTGTTTCACAATAGTGTCGGCCAACCCTTTGCTCAATTTGTCCGGGTAAGGCCAAACAGGTTCGGTACCAAAGCTATCCAGGTTGGGCCGGCCCGCCTTCATAGGCAACATCCGCGGGCCAAGAGGGATCGGCCCCTCATAGCGACCGGTTCCGTTGAACACCGGCGGGCCTATGTGCACAACGTCGTCGATGCCCTCGAGCCTCCCCAACAGGCGGGTCGGCTTGGGGCAGGGCGCGCCGAAGTCTGATTGCAGGAGCGCCCCCCGCCGAACCCCATGGAGGTCAAGCAGGGCACGGACCTGCGAGAAATGCCACAATGAGCCTGGATGGTCACCACTTCGGACAGGCCCCAGATCCTCTGGGTGGCCCAGCACGCCGCAAGCGTCCGCATTCCTCGCAAGCTGCGCGCGCACGGCATCGCAGCAGAAATCGGCGAGCACGCTCGCAGTCCTGATGCCCTCGGCGGCCCGGCTCGCAAGCCAGGGAAACCCTCTTGGGCAATGCTTTGGCCGCATAGGCTTTCGACCTAACATGCCAGCCCAACGTCTCCGGGAGAAACTGGCATCAGGAGGGCAGGCAAACACGGCGTCGAAGTCTCCGCGCTGGATGCGCGACAAGGTGGCGGCCAAGGTCGCGAACGAGCCGGAGTCGCTCTTGCGCCTCTTGAAGATGTCTATCTCGTTGATCATCACCTTGAAGCCGCTGGCGCGCGCGATCGGGACCATGTGCTTCCTGAAATTCGCCCTGTTCTTGGCACCTGCAAACATGTATAGAGCCTTCAGCGTCCTCCTCCCTGGCTGGGTTTCACTAGCGCTGGAGGGCATGATCTCGCCAGTGCCCTGGCCTGGTACTGACGTCAGGGGGCGGCCAAGCCCCTGACCAGCAGAGGCGGCTCACCAGGGAGAGCGCCGCTCCGGGCACTCGAACATGGGGTGACCCTCCGCGCAGCAGATCCCGCAAACGTGCAAGAAGGGGCACCCGCTGACCTCGCAGCCCTCGTCCTTGTTGTTGTAGCGGAAGCAGATGGGCTTGTTATTGGGCGTCTTGGCCCTGCACCCCTTCGCGGTCTTACCCTTGCTGGTGGGCGTCGTCTTCTTCGCTTTGCCTTTGCCGTTCCCCTTCCCCATCCCCTTAGCTGCGTGCTTGCCCGAGGGGGGCCGCCATTGTGTCATAAGATCTCTTGTTCGTACGAATCGTGGCGGCCATCGCCAAGGGTGCCGTGAAGAAGCGCTCCTTGGTGACAGGGTCGCTGGACGTTACCTTGAGCGCCTGGGCCAAGGCCTTACCCTCGATGACGAGGTTCATGGCCTTCCGCCAGATCTCCAACTCGCACAAGAGAACTAAGTTCCAAGGTGGCGCGGCCGACTGGTTGCCATGTGCGTCGCGGGAGTACAGCTTAGAAACGTACGGGCCCAAGAGGTGGTCGAGGTAGTCCTGGAAAACCTGCGGGCTTAGCCCGCGCAACCACGTGCAATTAGGCTGTTGGAAGCCGACGAATGTCCAAGCCCTGCCGAGAAGAGATAATCTGGTCCGTAGTTCCTCAGCATCTTTAGGAAGGGCCACTGTTGCCGAAGCCTTCATGGCCTTGAGGTTTCCGCTGGTGTCAAACACGGCCTTGAAATCGGTTTGCCTGAGAGTTTGGCCTCCTGCCTCACCTCCGACTCTGCCTCTGCCTCGGCCAGTTTCGTAAATCGCGCTTTTGCGAAGTCCCACGCGACGATAAGCTTGCCAGCCGCGACCTTCCCCTCGATGGCCGACGTGTCCACCCCACAGTCGTTCTTCAGGCTTTCGCGCAGCTCCTCAGAATCCTTCACGAAGGCTGCGAACGTCCGAACGGTAGTGACGCCAGCCGCGACTAACTTGTCCTGAAGCTCCTTGGGCACGCCCTCGCAGTCCATCAGGTACGTGAAATCCGAGCTCGCCGACATTCCGAACTCACGAGGCGAGAAAAGGGGCGACTGCACTTCAAGCGCACCCGGAGCCCCGGCCAGCGCTCGAGATTTACAACGGCTATGGGCTATGGCGCAGGCAGGGCGAAACATGACTATCTTGAAAACCAAAACTGCTGCGGAGAGCGCGCGGACATGTGACACTGCATGCACTGTGTGCTACACGCGGGTCTGCAGCATCCCGGAAACATTCCTCAACCAACGCCCCCACACTGTTGCACAACATAGCTTACACAACATAGCTTGCACCCCCAAAGCTTCCACCTCCAGTTCACAACGCCTAGCTGAAGCAACATAGCTGACGCCACAGATGGTTTCGGTCGAAAGCAAGAAGCTCTGCCACCCTTCCCCCCCTGGTTATCGATACATCCTGGGACACTGCAAATTACAAATGAGTTCGGCCCCATCCTTCATTTTGAAATCACACCAGCCCCACAGCCAGGCCGCTATCGGCACCCCCTCCCTGTCAAGTAATACTATGTGCGCACACTCGCCGATCACAAAGGATCATTGTTCAAGAATCCCTTGCGAATTATCCCAGTGCGACCCTACCTAGGACTTGGAGCCCCTAGGAAAGCAGCATTAGTAGTAACAGTAAAGCTAAGCAATCGCTAAGCTAAAGCTAAGGTAAAGCTAAGCTATCGCTAAGCTAATGCCAAGCTAAAGCTAAGCTAAAGCTAAGCTAAAGCTAAGCTAAAGCTAAGTTAAGGCTAAGCTAAAGCTAAGCTAAAGCTAAGCTAAAGCTAAGCTAAAGCTAAGCTAAAGCTAAGCTAAAGCTAAGCTAAAGTTAAGCTAAAGCTAAGCTAAAGCTAAGCTAAAGCTAAGCTAAAGCTGAGCTCAAGCTAAGCTAAAGCTAAGCTAAAGCTAAGCTGAAGCTAAGCTAAAGCTAAAGCTAAAGCTAAGCTAAAGCTAAGCTAAAGCTAAGCTAAAGCTGAGCTAAAGCTAAGCTAGGGCTAAGCTAAAGCTAAGTTGAAGCTAAGCTAAGGCTGCGCTAAAGCTAAGCGAAAGCTAAGCTAAAGCTAAGCTAAAGCTAAGCTAAAGTTGAGCTAAAGCTGAGCTAAAGCTAAGCGAAAGCTAAGCTAAGGCTAAGCTAAAGCTAAGCTAAAGTTAAGATAAAGCTAAGCTAAGCTAAGCTAAAGCTAAGCTAAGCTAGGCTAGGCTAGGCTAAGCTAAGCTAAGCTAAGCTAAGCTAAGCTGAGCTAGGCTAAGCTAAGATGAGATAAGCAACGCTAAACTAAGGGGACGTAACTGGGGGAACCGCGGGGCGGATACTGGGGGAACCGCCCGGGGCGAGTTGCACTGCCCGGCCCTTTAAGCATACCGAGTAAGAACCCTTCTAGGCAGAGCCTAGGTAGGGAAAAATGTGGTGGAAGGACCCAATCACATGCAGCTGCAAGTATCGCGAGGCAAGTGAGATGAAGGAGGGGGGCAGCAAAAGGACTGCGGCGTGGATAAAGGGGGGTATGCTGACGTGGGCGTGCTTGGGGGTCTCCGTGGTTTGGCCAGAACCCCGTGCACCGCCGTTTCGTGCCCATTTCCTTTACAGCTCTGTTCTCCCCTCTACTTGTTTCCGTTACGAACTGCATTCCTACCCACCTGGCCCGAGCCCCAGATGGGGTCACGAAACGCGTGAGGGATGTGCCGAAACGAAGCGGCGGGACCTTGCGAACCCTGGCAATTGGGCTTTAGTTGGAACTCCCCACGGGGCCACGAAACATGTGAGGGGTGTGCCGCAATGAGGCAGCGGGGCCATGGGGACCCTGGCATGTGGGCTTGAGCTGGAGTTCCCTATGAAGCCACGAAGCGTCTCAGGGGTGTGCCGACATGAAGCGGCGGACCCATGCGAACCTGGGCATGTGGGCCTGGGCAGAAGCTCCCCATGGGGCCACGACACGTCTCGGTGTGCCGACATGAAGCGGCGGGCCATGCAGACCCTGGCCTTTGGGCATTACTTGAAGCTCCCTGTGGGGCCACGAAACGTCGTGTCAGAGGTGTGCCGAGATCCAGCGGCGAGGCCATGCGGACGGCATTCGGGCTGCAGCAGGAGCTCCCCATGGGGCCACGAAAAAATGTGAGTGGTGTGCCGACATGAAACGGCAGGGCCATGCGAACCCTGGCAGTTCGGCCTCAGCTGGAGATCCCCATGGGGACACGAAACGAATAAGGAGTGTGCTGAAATTGAGAGGCGGGCCCATGCGAACCCGGGCATTTGGACCGTAGCTGGAGTTCCCTATGGGGCCACGAAACGAATGAGGGGCGTGCTGACATGAAGCGCCCGGGACCTGCGAACCCTGGCATTTGGGCATCAGTTGGAGCTCCCCATAGGGTTTCGAAACGTGTGAGGGGTGTGCCGACATGGGCTTGCGGAGAGCAGAAGCAGGGATGGGAGGAGGGACGAGGGGGCAGCGGGAAGGAAGAATGAAGGACGCGGGGCGCCCCCTCTTCAAAACGAGGACACAACACAACATGATGGCAGGGAAATACACAGAGTCCACAGCGCGCACATGTCGAAATCATACCAGACACAATCGTTCTTCAAGCATGTCAACATATGCTTAACCAGCGTAGGCACCAAACAGTATGTTTCTACCAAACTATATTGTGCAACCTGTGTGGGGCACTATACGCGGTGCAATATACGTGGTGCCATAGATGCTGTGCAATCTACGTTGTGCAACCGATATTTTACAATATGTATGGTGCCATATATGTGCACTTTAGGCGGTGCAATCTATGTGGTCCGATATCTATGTGGTGCAGCCGTTGTGATGCAATCTACGTGATGCGCATTCGATGCGGTTCAATCAATGTTGTGATATGTACAAATGCTCGCAGTGAGTTATAAACTCCACTGCTCGCGCAATCATCCCACCCACCCACCCGCAGCTTGATTTGCAAAAACCATGCGACGGCGATTGCGATGAGTGCCTGGCCTTGGCTGGTGCATTTCTGCGGCCGCGCTAGCCCGCACATGCTCGCGCGCACAGCGGCCAGCTAGTGCGGCGCGACCGACGCGGCCTCGGTGGCGCTACCGCTGGGCACTTCCCATCGGGCACTTCAATGCGAATCGGTGACTTGGGCGGGCGCGGCCGACAACGGTATACACGATGATGAAAGAAGCGATGATGGTGACGATTCTGGCGATGACGACGGCAAGGCCAATGACGGCGCCGATGTTGATGTCCTCGAATCGGTGATGAAGGTTTTGGAAAGAACTCGACATGTGCGCTCGGCCGACGCGCGCGAGGGGCCCGCGTGGTTTTATTTGACACGGATCGTGCCCCCCCCCCCAGCACGCGCGCAAGAGCATTCGAATGGGTTGGGCATGCGGCGCGAATGGCCCGTTTGACGGAACTTGATGGTGATGTTGAAAGTCGATGGTTCTCGTAAGAATTCGCAAAAGCGCCCGCGCACAGACATGCGCGCGCGGCCGACGCGCTAGAGTAGCCGTATGGTTTTCGTTGACACTGATCGTGTCCCCCCAGCACGCGCGCAAGGGCGTTCGAATGATTTCGGCATGCGACGCGAGGATCCTGTTTGGCAGAATTCCATGGCAAAGTTAAGAAGCCTACGCTTGTCTTAAGAATTCGCAAGGGCGCGAGCGCACGCTGTTTTGAAAACTGATTTTGCGAAACCATGCGTGTGCTTTATGGGCGATGTGAATACTCGGTTTTGACATCGCTGCGAAACCAAAGGTTTTTGACGCGCGCGCCCGACGACGCGCGCGTGTGCACCTCGTCTCATATGTTGCGAGGGGCTCTCGCGACGGCACGCGCGCAAGGGCGTTCGAACGATTTCGGCATGCGCGCGCGAAGCCCGTTTGGTAGCATGTTCTAAAAATTATGACAACCTATGGTTTGCTTGAGGATTCGCAAGAGCGCGCGCGCAACTGTGTTTTGAAAATCCGTGTTAAACCTCTTGTCTTTATATGTGATGTTGAGATTCGATTTTGAAACCCTGGCGAAACGGATGGTTTCTGAAGGATTTCGGCACGCGCGCGTGACAGCGCGCGCGTGCGCACTTCGTCCCTGCTTTCGCCAGAGATCTTTAAAGCTGATGATGTTTGATAAACGAATGCGAGCGCATATTGTTTTTTGCGGGTGATGGCGGGGGGTGATGCCGGCCCCCTGGGATTGTGCGAATTCATATTTGGGATGGAATATGGGACAAAATCAAGTTGCAATACGCAAAAGGATACCGATAACCCCGGGGGGGGCAGAGTCCATTTTCTTTTTAACGAGGAGACATCTATGTGGGCGGCGACGAGACGACGACGGGGCGGCGACGGCGGTAACAAGGCGGCGGACCCGACAAACGAGGCTGGCCGACGGGCGGCGACGAGGCGGCGACGGGGCGGCGACGGCGACAACAAGGCGGCGGATCCGACAAGCGAGCCTTGACAACTGGCGGCGACGAAATTGCGACGGGGCGGCGATGGCGGCGGATCCCCGAAACGAGTCCAGTTCCTTAGAAAACAAATAAGAGACCCTAAATGCCAACGTTGCCTGGGAACTCGTCTGAAAATACCACATGATTTCAACAGTCGCGCCCAAAACCCGCATTCTCACCTGACCACGCGGTGCATCCACGTTGATCCAACATGCGCCCAGTGCATGAATCCGTATCAAATAACACCATGCGGCCCAGACGCGCGAGCCGCCAGGCTCGCGTCGAAATCCGTCCAAAACCATTGTTGCCCGAAGCATGACAAAATAGAGCTCGTCACAACATGTGTTTTACTAACAAAGAAACTTTTTTATTAAAAATGGTTTAATCGGGCTTGTGTTTGCCACGCGTATGGAATTTCTGTGCGCGCGCACTCCTGACCATCACCCTCACCTGCGCCATCGCACCACCGCCAGCCGTTATCGTAATCGCCAATCGCCGCCATTGCCGCCATGGTCGCTGAATTACATCCGTCGCTGACACATGGACATCGTCAGCAGGATCGGCACCGTCATTGGCATGACCATCGTCCTCGTCAGCATCGCCACCTCCATCGACAAAATTATCATGATCGTTACCGCCGTTGTCCACGTCACCATGATACCGCGCCCACCCGAATCACCGACCCGCACTGAAGCGCCCGCGCGCCAACGCGGCCTCTGAGACGCGCTCGGAAGTTCCCACCAGCAAGCGCCATCGCAGCCGCATCAAGTGTGCCAAACCAACTGATTGCTCTGCGCGCGATCTTGCGCGTGCCAGCGCGGCCGCAGAGATACGCCAGCCAGTGCCAAGCACATCAGCCATGGTGGCGGCAGGAGTTTTGCATGCAAGTCTCGGGTGGGAGTCGGCAACGCACGACTTACAAACATTAATTCTACGTTCTTACAAAAATAATTCCTACCACCCACCCACCCCCCAGGGTTAAAGATCCCCTTTTTTCGCATTGCAATGTACATAGGTCCCTGCCCCATCGCCCATTCTACTGTGAGTTCACACTACCCCAGCCAGGCCGGCATCGCCCCCCCGCCATCCTTTTTCAAAAAATACTATGCGCGCACACTCGCTTATCCAAAAAATATATAACGAATCCCTTGAAAAAAAAGTGCACACGGGCGCGTCGTCGCGAGCGCATGCCGAAATCTTTCAAAACCTTCGGTTTCGGGAGGATGTCAAAGTCGCGTGGCCAAAAAGCACGCGAAACATAGGGTTTCGCAACACGGATAGTATAAAACAGCTTCCGCGCGCGCTCTTGCGAAATCTCAAGAAAACCCTAAGTGTTTCAAGCTTAAAACAAAATCGACCAAACGGGCCTCGCGCGCGCGCATGTCGAAATCGTTCGAACGCCCTCGCGCGCGTGTCGTCGCGAGAGTCCTGCGCAAAAAATTGGACGCAGTGCACGCGCGCGCGCGTTGTCGCGCGCGCATGCCCAAATCTGTCAAAACCTTCGGTTTCGGACGGACGTCAAAATCGAGTGCCCAAAAAACATACAAAAACACAGGGTTTCGCAATACGTCTGTTCAACAAAAGCTTCCGCGCGCGCTCTTGCGTCGTCGTCGTCGTCGTTCCCGTCCTCCCTCCTCCCTCGACGTCGTCGCCGTCGTCGCCGACGTCGTCCTCTGTCGTTCCTCGTCGTCGTCGTCCTCTTTGGCGTCGTCGTCGTTTCCGTCGTCGCTGTCGCCGTGGTCGTCCTTCCTCCTCCTTCGTCGTCGTCATCGTCAGTCGTCGGGGTCTCGTCGTCGTCCCTCCTATTTCGTCGCCGTCGTCGTCGTCATCGTCGTCGTCTTCCTCCCTCGTCGTTGTCGTCGTCGGCGTCGCCGTCCTCCCTCCTTCTCCGTCGTTCGCGTCGTCGCCATCTTCCCTCCTCCCTCGTCGTTGTCGTCGTCGTCGCCGTCGTCGTCCTCCCTCCTCCCTCGTCGTCGTCGTCTTCGTTGGCGACGTCGTCGTCGTCGTCTTCGTCGTCGTCGGCGTCGTTGCCGTCGGCGTCGTCGTGGTCGTCGTCGTCGTCGGCTTCGTCGTCGTCGTCCTCCATCCTCCCTCGTCGTCGTCGACTTCGTTGGCGTCGTCGTCGTCGTTGTCGTCGTCGTCGTCTTCGTCGTCGTCGTCTTCGGCGTCGTCGTCGTTGTCGTCGGCTTTGTCGTCGTCGTCGTCGTCGGCGTCGTCGTCGTCGGCGTCGGCGTCGTCGTCGTCGTCGGTGTCGTCGTCGTCGTCGTCGTCGGTGTCGTCATCGTCGTCGTCGTCGTCGGCGTCGGCGTCGTCGTCGTCATCGATGTCATCTTCGTCGTCGTCGTTGTCGTCGTCGTCGAAGTCGTCGGAGTCGTCGTCGTTGTCGTCGTAGTCGTCGTCGGCTTCGTCGTCGTCGTTGTCGCTGTCGTCGTCGGCGTCGGTGTCGCTGCCAAGTACCATTTGGTACCTACCGTCACGGTCTTAAGAGGTCTTGCGACCAAGTTGCGGGTGGGAGGGTGGGATGTTTGCACGAGCAGTGGAGAGGACAGCTTCAAGACAGTCAAAGTAAGTTCCACCGCATAGGTTTCAACACCTCAGCTCACACCACATGGCTTACGCGGCATGGTGTGCGTTCACCTCAATTTTGCAACAAGGCGCTGCTTGGGTTCGACGCTGGCTGGTATACTTTGAACAACGTTTGTCTTCACAAGTTCCATTATCAGTTCATGGAATTCTTGCGTTCCCTCAGTGTCCGACTTCCCACACACGTGATTGCATGACAGGCCCCTTATATCGACTTGTGGCTTTCTTGAATTGGTACATGCCGCTTGTGCTTCTGGCACGCATGCCTTGCATGCCAGTGCTCTGCTACCTAGGCGAATTTGCATATCAGGCTGCGCAGATCATCTAGATGCCAGCGCCGACGAGAAGGGCCCTAACGCAGGGCAGGATCGGATGGAGCGGATGGCAAGCAGGGGAAATGGCAACAGACCGCCTACAGCATAAGAGAGGTATCCGAGGTTGGCATGCACAAGGCCTGACATATTATCGTAAGGGAAAAAGTGGAGGAAAGAAACAATGCAAAGCGAATAAGTGGGAGGCGAAATGGCGGAGATCAGTAGTTGCAGGAGGGAAATCACGAGGTGGGGGGGAAGGAAAGAGCCAGGAGAGGAGTAAGGCAGAGGGTAAGAGGGAGAGGAGACAGCAGAGGCCGAGGAGGAGCCCCAACAAAATGGGCGCTGAGGCGGCTCGGCCTGACAACAGAGCGCCTAGCCCCATGGCACGCAAGGCGCGCAGACTGCGTCAGCTCCAGCACCAGATGGCGCCTCATCCACACGATGGAGCAGACTTACGTGGCACAACCGACGTCCTCCAGTTCACAGTCCTTGCAGACGGAGCACTGCTCGAGGACTAGCTTGTGCGCCGCTTTGCACGACTTGTCCTCGCCCAGCCCCTCCGCGGCAGCGTACAGCACTCGCTTGCCGCACTCAGCGCTGACGCCCTCGAAGTTGCACTCCTTGGCGCAGCCAGGCGAGGTCGCTGGCGGCGCCGGCGCTGGCGGTGCGGGCGCAGAGCCCGCAGGGGGACCACACTTTTCGGGCGGCGGCACGCACATCATGCAGCCCTTGCACTGCTTGCGCACCAGGCGGTACGCTGCGGCGCAGGCGTCTGGCCGATCGGCATAGAGGCTCTCCAAGGCGTACTGCAGGCGAGACTCGCACGTGGCAGAGTCTCCGTCGATCTTGCAAGTCGACTTGCAGGCCTCGTTGCTGCTACTGGCAGCCTCGCCTGCAGCGTCGTCCTCGGCCTTGCCGTCGTCGAGGCCACGAAGTGCAGCAGCTTCCTGGCCCTGGACCTCGAAGTCAGCGGAGGCTGCCACAGGGCTCGCGCCTTCGGTCATCTGCGAGATCGGCTGCCCCAGCTGTGCGACATCTGCAGGCCTTCCAGCGCGGACGGGGCGCGGCTTCGGGCGCACGGGCTTGGCCACGCTCAGGTTCTCGTGCGGGAATGGCGGCCCGCACGCGTCGGGGGAGGCCGCGCACGCTGCACAGCCCGGGCACAGCTTCGCCACCGAGGCGCGCGCGGAGCTGCACGCGTCCGGCCCGTGGGATGCGCTGGCTGCGTAAGACAGCCTCTTGGCACACGTGGCGGCCTGGCCCTCCGCGATGCAGACGCGCTCGCAGGGCTTTGGGGGTTCAGCGGCGACGACGGAGTAGCAGCGCAGCTGACCCCCAGGCACAGGTCCCTCTTTGTCGGGGTTGCAGCGGTCACCCAACCATCCGTCCACCATGTCGAAGCCGACGTCGTGGATTATCTGCGGCACGGAGCTGAGAAATCGATCGCTCACCATGTACATAGTCGCGCCCGCCTGTCCTTCACCTGTCCACTCGTAGACGTCGTAAGGGCTGCCCCAGCACTCGCGCTCAAGCCTCGTGACCGGATTCTTGTCGCCGCGGACGCCGAGCCTGCCCTTGTCCAAGTAGATCACGTCCCAGTCCGTTGGCGCGTCCTCCAGAAGGGCCAGGATCACGCTGTCGTACTCGTCTGGTGAGCCTCCGACGTAAGGCACCCACCAGTCCGACAGCAGCGCGTCGCTCTCGGCCATGATCACCGCAGGCAACCCACGCTCCCGGGCGTCCATCCAGACGACGAAGTGCGAGAGGCTGCAGCTGGCGTGGTGCGCAAGGCCCTTCGCCACCCAGGTGCTGCGGCCCTGGTCGTCCACCTCTGCGAAGGTCAGGTGGTGCTTGTTCCACCACGGTGCCGAATCTCCGACTGGCACCATGCCAGTCGGCGTCCAGATGAGCTCGTCGGGCTGCATTTCGGGCAGCCCCTCGCCGTACTTCCGCACACGTTCGTACCCGCCGTCCCCCTGCTCCCATCTCTCAGCGTTCACGCCCGCAACCTTGTGAAGCGCAGCCCGTCCGCACGACAGATGCTTGTCGTACTCGATCGAGAGACGCTCCAATCTGTTCAGGTCCTCCTCGCTATCCGGGAGGTAGATATACTCAACCTCTGGGAAGTCGGGACATGAAAGATTGCCCTGACACCTGCGCTGGCAGGCACACGACATCTTTGGCACGCCGCATGTCCACGGGCCATTGGCAGCCTCTCCAGTGGCTTCGGGGTCGAGACCACCCTTGGTGCAGTTTGGCCGGCACCCGGCAAAGTGCTGGTCCTTCTCGTAACATGTCAGGCCCTCTACGCTGCAGCAGCCAGTAGACCGACAGTCCTCACCAGGCTCAGCGCACACTGCAGGGCGCCCCGCCAGCTCCACGGTCCCGCGCAGCTCGTGCCAGCCAGCAGGAGCGGAGCGCCCGCGCCAGCAGTGCACTGCGGCCCCAGCAGCCAGGGCGGCAACAGCCACGGCGAGGGCAGTGGCCGTGAGGCTCTTGCGGCGCCGGCCTTCTTGGCAGTCCGCGTCGCCGCGCAGTGGCAAGAGCTCATCGGTCTGAGACAGCACCGCCTGCCCAGGGCACGCCCCGCCCACCGTCCGCGCTCTGGCAGCTTGCATGACACCTGGGTCCTGTCCGACGCCAATGCATGTGGGCGCGGCTTCGGGCCAACAGCGGCTTGACGGACGGGCACAGGCGAGAAAAATGCCTGAATTGGCACATCAAATCGGCAAGCTTCGAGGTGGAGAAGATAGCCGACATAGGCACACAAACAAAACAATGTCTGTCTCGGGGGGGTGCGCTTTCGCTTCCGCCACTTTCCGCCATGTCCACGTCGCCCTCAGCCAGAGAAGAAAAGCGAACGCGATGTTTTCCGCCAGCTTCCGGGGACCTTGTGTTGGGTCAAGGTGCGCGGGAGCAGGACATCAGAATGCGATAAACATCCCCCTTATGGGCCTTCCGAAATGATGAAATCACAGCCTGCACAAAATTTGAGAATTCCGCGTGCAAGGCCAGAACACTGCGCCCGTGGCTCCGCCAACGCAGCATGGAGGGAGAACTCGGCAAGCAAAGCCTGCGCTTGTAAACCGCGACGCACCGAGGCATACCGCAACAACCTGCGACGGGCCTCGGAGAACGCAAAAGCCCAAAGGATGATCCTGAGAAGTTTGACCACAGGCCCGCACATTATGTTCCTTCTCATGGGTATGGCCAACCTATTCGTAATCCCCCTTCCCATCGACCTCCTCATCGTCCTCCTCCCCCTCCTCCTCAATCCCTTTTCCTGCTAGGTGGCCCGAACCGCCCCGACAACACACCTGCCGCCGAACGAAAACATCCACACATGTCGGGAACAGCGGACATGTTCGCCCTCTCTCTCTCTCTCTCTTGTTCTCTCTCTCTCTCTCTTTCTTTTTCTCTTTCTCAAGTTCTATCTCTGTGTCTGTATTTTTCTCTCTCTCTCTCTCTCTCTCTCTCTCTCTCTCTCTCTCTCTCTCTCTCTCTCTGTATATATAATATATATATATATATATATATATATATATATATTATATCTCTCTCTCTCTCTCTCTCTCTATCTCTCTCTCTCTCTCTCTTCTCTCTCTCTCTCTCTCTCTCTTAGTTATCTCTATTTATCTCTCTCTCCCCCCCATATATATATATGTATGTATGTATGTATATATATATATACAAGTATATCCCTCTCTCTCTCTCTTTCTCTCTCTATGTTTATATATATATGTTTGTTTCTCTCTCTATATATACTTCTCTCTCTACATATATGTATATTTATTTGTGTATATGTATGTTTGTATACAAATACATACATATATGTATGTATGTATACAAATATGTATATATATAGACATTGATATAAATATATATATATATATATATATATATAGCTCGCTTCGGCTCCCGGGCCAGGCACCTTTTCCATCTGGGACAGCACAGGGCCAGGCGTTGACTGAGCTAGAAGCGCGAGAGCAGCAGAGACAAAGCGGACGAGGAGCGCGACAGCGCTCGAGAGGACCACCTGTGCGACCCTCACCCGAAAAGCAGTGGCGAGAAGGCGTGTCGGGATGGCCACGGGGAAAACTTCGAGCCAGATATGAGTACGTCCGACCTGTTGCCTCTGCTCAGCCCTCAGTTGTGAAAACTACCAGCTCGCTTCGGCTCCCGGGCCAGGCACCTTTTCCATCTGGGACAGCACAGGGCCAGGCGTTGACTGAGCTAGAAGCGCGAGAGCAGCAGAGACAAAGCGGACGAGGAGCGCGACAGCGCTCGAGAGGACCACCTGTGCGACCCTCACCCGATCCCGAAGGTTCAACTGGCCGCAGGCCGTATATATAAAGAAGAAACCATTCTCGGAGAGCAGGCAAACCGGGCTATCTCATGGCAAGAGACTGGAGGGCGAGACCAGGCTGAATGTGCAACGCTTCGACGATACAGCGCGAGGCAGCCTGGGCGAGGAGACGAGGATACACGCGACAGCAGTGCGCTTTCGCCCTTGCTCATCGCTGCCCTCCAGAATTACATGACGATTGCCCGAGCGACTGCAAATGCCTCTTTTTCCAGAGCAGACAAGCTGTAAAGGGTGCATGGCGCCCGCACCCCAAGACATGATGGTCGTGGCTTTCTTGAAATCAGCGCCGTACTGACACTGATGCAGAACTGACTTCTGGCAGGACGGCCGGCGACACAGGCGAGCGAGGGGAGGGCACGACCAGATCTGCGAGGTCTGTGGATTCTCGAAAAAGACGGGCACACGGGCAGAGATGCACTCACGAATTATGATCACTGTCATGCGCAGCGTGGCATTGCCCGCGGCGGCGCGAGCCTGCTCGGACGATGAGAGGTCGGGCAGCCCGAACGGGTAGCGGTCCGACCTGAGCGGGCGCCGCAGGGCTCGCGTCCAGCTGGTGCAGGGGGTGCCCAGCCAGACGGCACCCACCGCACGCGACCGGATCCAGCCGACGACGGTGGCGATGAAGGCAGGCAGCACATGATCCTCCAGTGGGCTGCGCTGCCAGTCAAGCCCAAATGCGGCGACGCCGCGGGCGAGCAGCGCCTCGGCGATCCTGCCGGCTCCGCAAAAGAGCTCCAGCACGGGGCGGCGCCTGAGGGCCCGGCCTGGCGCGGCAGCGCGGCGATGCTGCCGCTGCAGGTGCCGCTTCACCGCGTCCGCCGGCGGGCAGCCGCCGTCGCCGCCTGGGCCGCGGGCCGCTTGCGTGGGCGACCACCGGCGGCCGGCTGCCTTCCCTGAGGCAGCGGGCGGAGGAGCGACGCGGCGGCGGCCGGGACGCGGCCAGTCGCTAGCCAGCCGGGCAGGCAGCCGCCGACCAGCGCCTCCAGGTTGCTCTCGACGAAGGCCCCGAGCTCCATCACCTTGGGCGGGATCCAGGCGAGCTCGTCCAAGAGCTTGGTCTCCTTTGTGTAGCGGTTCAGGCTCTTGGCTGTCCGCCAGGGCAAAAATGTACGCAGGGAAACGTTAGCGGACGGAAGTATGTGCAGCTCTACAAGGCCATCACAACACATGTTATGCAATCACATCGTAAACACGATTGGAGGGAGCCACGGTCAGTTACACGTAGGTCGTATCCTCGCTACTACATTAAAGCGCCTGTTGTGCGACAGCGTTTTCTTCAGTACTGAAATTGCTAACCCTAAGATAAAGTGTTTGCCCGATATGTGGTGAAAGTTTCGGTGTCTTTATCTTGTGGCTCAAGATCCGCAGAGACCAACTACTATCTTACTTGTTCCCATCTTTTCACGTGCGGCGACTTCAGAAGCACGAACCTATTGAGCAGTCTCTTCAAATGCTTCCTAGAAGGCGTACATCGTGGGCTCAGCTGCTCGAGTCTGACTGGGCACCTACACATCATGCCAGACATCACCGAAACGATATGGATAAGCCCAAGTCTTGTTGTGTTCGAGATCGCAGCAACTGCTTTGCAGCCGCAGGCCAGGAAGCCAAGAAAATCAAGAAGGACCTTCAGCAAGAGGACGAGGACATGGACGACGTGTCCACTATCACCATGATGAAAAATCTACTCGTGCAACTAGAAGACAGAATGAGACTGTTAGAACACAAGGCCACGAGCACAGCAATATTGGACAGGTCGCACCAAGCAGTGGTGGACGCCAACAAATTCTAGGCGGAGTATGCGAAGACCAGAAGCGGGATCCCAGCGAGAATTTTGTTTCTAACCGTCGTCTTAGTAACTGGCATTACAAGAACGCCCCGGACAGGTGGTCGTCAGAGCCATGAGAATGGAGGAAATCCGCCGACCCTGTCGGCGTGTGGAAGAGGCTGTTCCTTTTGACTCGTCTTCGTCGACGTCGTCGTCATCGCCGTCGCCGTCGCCGCTCCCTCTCTTTTCCTGGGCCCGTCGCCGCCCTCCCCTTTTCCTGGGTCCTCCTCCTCACGCGCGCCAGCCAAAACGAAATTGAGCAACGTCGCAATTGAGTCCAAGGGAACCCCCTTCCCTTTGGTCACCCTTCCCGGGTCAGACTACCACCCCCCTGGGGTGCACTGGGACCCAACAAAAATCCCAAGACGAGCCAAGAGTGCCCCAAGAGGCCCCCAAGACGGTCCAAGAGGACCCCGAATCGCCGAACGATCGGTCCAAGACGTCTTTACGGCCTCCAGACGGCCCAAGAAGGCTGAAGACGCCCCAAGAGGCCTCGAAGAGCACTCCCAAGAGAGCCCTAAGAGGCAAAAATCATTGATTTTCCTCGCCTTTTCAGCTTCCCGACGCTCCACAACGGCGAAATGGGCCAGAGAGGGCCCGAAAACGACCCAAGACGCCTGCAAGACGGCCCAAAAGGCCACCAAGAAGGCTCCAAGAGAGTGCCCATACAGGGGAACCAAACGGACATTTCGAGCCCTCGACCCCGAGAGGCTCCCAGGAGGCCCCAAGAGGCCCCCAAGAGGCCCCCGGGAAGCCCCACGAGGCTCCCAAGAGGCTCCCAAGAGGCTCCCAAGATGCTCCCAGAGGGCCCCCAAAACTGCCCCCAGAGGCCTCTGAGAGCTCTCCGAAGAGAGCCCAAACAGAATCCCTGAGGATTCTGACCCACGCCAGCGTCGTCGTCATCGTCGTCGTCATCGTCGTCGTCGTCGTTCCCCTTCAGGGTCGGCGGCACTGGCCGTCAGGCCTTCGCAATAGAAGGGCCACATCTCACAGGCCATTGGGCACGCGAGATAGCAGTCTCCCCGTGCTTCGACCAGTTGAACAAGCCCAAGAATCACGATTTTTGCTGAGCTTGCGAGGGGCAACACTGGTTCAAGACGACTCGGTGCTAGCCAGCGACCTGATCAAAGCAGTGGAGCAGCCAGATCATCCTCTACACGAGCAGCCACCGCTAGAGATTCCCACGTCGTTCTACCAGCAGGAGGACAAGATCATGAATATTAAGACTATCGTGGGTGAAATTGTACGGGACAAAGGGGAGAGCGTCACTCTCGGCGCGCAAGTTGGTGGAGCGCAGTGGAGTCCCATGATGATATCGCAGTGTGCATGTGGATAGAGTCTTATGATGTGTGCATGGGGAGTCTTTTGATATGGCAGCCCGTTGAAATATACCTCGGCCAGTTCGGCAAGTGCATTGGATGTCTTGTACGGAGTTGGCATTCGTCTGAGGCTTTCGCCCTGCTGCCGCGTTCTCTCTCCGCCCCTTC